ACCACATGACAAAAGTCACGTTGTGCTACCATTTGTCAGCAAGCCGCAACCCCAGGACCAGTGCCTTACAAATTTTTTCATTCGGTAGGTAGAACACTGAAGAACTCTTAAACAGACCAGCCCCACTGAATCCACCGCACATAAAAGCATTACACATATACCTTCCTATAGCTGTCACTTCACTAACGATCGAAGAAATCAGTATGGCCACTAGACAAATCAAGAGTGGAAAGACGGTATCTGACAATACACAAGCTCAAGCACTGAAATCAGACATAAAAGCAACTGCAAACATGCTCCACGCCCTTTTCAGGAAGATTCGGAAGGAACAAGTGCCGACAAACTGGAAAGAAGGACACCTTATCAAGATACAAAGAAAGGAGATCTCAGAAACTGAAATTTGCAGAGGCATTACACTATTATCAGCACCAGGGAGTTTTCAACAGAGTGTTGCTGAACGGGATGAATTTGTCACTATACATCAACTTCCTTGACTATGAGAATGCGTTTGACAGTGTGGATAGGATATTATGAAGTCTTCTTCGACGCTATAGTGTACCTGAAAAGGTCATCAACATCATTTGGGATTCACATGATGGACTACACTGGAAATTTGTGGGTGGGAAGCAGCTGACAGACGCTTTCCAAGTGGAGGCCGTTGTCAGACAAAAATACTTTCTCTCCCTTTCTTCTGGTAATTGACTGGATTATGAAAGCCTCCACATGTCAGGGGAAGCACGAAATCCAATGTACAGCTTGTGTGCACCTAGATGATTTGGACTTTTCAGATGACCCAGCCCTTTTACCCCACACACGCGAACAAATACAGGTCAAGACAAACTGTGTAGTAGCAGTCCATTAGTACGCCTCAACATACACAAGGGAAAAACCAAGATCCTTAAACACAACACGAAGAACACCAACTCAACCATACTCGATAGAGAAACTCTGGAAGATGTGTAAACCTTCGCGTAGCTGGACAGCATCATCGATAAACGAGGGGGATCTGATGCAAATGCAAAGACAAGGCTTGACAAAGTAAGGGCCGCATTCCCACAGTTGAAGAACATATGGAAATCAGAACAACTCAACCAATATGAAAGTCAGAATCTTCAATACGAGCGTCAAGACAGTTCTACTGTACGGAGTTGAAACTCAGAGAACTGCCACAACTATCATAAAAAAAGTACAAGTATTTTAAGCAATTGTCTAGAAGATAAAGACCAAGGAGCTCATTGTGCCGAGAATCGGAAGCATGCATCAAGAGAATGAATAGCAACTGAAAAGGACTGTTCAAGATAGAGTTCGGTGAAGAATCCTTGTGGGCGGCCTACGCTCCTTCACGACGGGTAACAGGTGTAAGTAAATAAGAATAGAAAAATTAACAAACACGCCTCTGTCATGAAAAGCACGAATACGTAGTTTAAAGATGAGTTACACATCTCAGTCAAGCCAGTTCACTTACTGATTTCCCTGATTGATTAACTGTTAGTTCAATTCACTCAAGTTTGGGTCGTGTAGTAAGAAGACAAAAATTATCAGAACTATGTGATATATTGGCGCAATACATTTTGGACAATCTGACCAAAAATATACTTCTTAAGAACATTTAGATACAAAAATGAAATGTCGACTAGACAAGTGGAGGGTAAGAGGAAACAAATATAGTAAGAAAATAATGATAAGAACAATATGAGACTCACCGCGCTGTATAATAAACTAGTATTAACAAGGTGGGTTTAAGGTTAAAATAAAGGTTCGGATTTTCATACAGCTTCGATAAGCTTTAGCAGTTGACCTATTATGTCTGTGTATAAATGTTCTTAACAAGTATGTGTGGTGATAAATCAGTCTTGCTAAAAATCACCTCAACCTCGGAATAAAAATTAGTGGCAACTCTATTTGTAGTTTCCTATGTTCGGAAACAGCGGTCTCCTTTCATAAGAAATGATAATTCCAAGATTGTTGTCTTATTTGGATTCTATCTCTTACTATCCTCACCTATTGGTGTTATCATGTGGTTCTCTTAAGGAAGCACTCCACTTGATGCTACACAGATAGATAAATTGGATCGATGACTCATTTTTCAGATATTACTTTTTGCCACAACGAATAGTAGTATCTTAGACCATCAAACAGGTCCTAATTTGTTTGTATCTTAAATTCAAAGTAATCATGTAGTATAGCTGGTTGTTACTGCATTTCTCGAAATCTTTACATCTGTAATAGATTTTAAAGTAACTTTTATAGGCATGTTTTAACTGAAATCAAGCAATGTGATGAGAAACAATCTAACATGAATATAGAATGATTTCTCCAGACAATCGTTAAGTACTAATTTGTTTCTTACCTGCAGGAAAAAGGTTTCAGTACACCTACTATGATCAAAGTAAAGGAGCAATCTGGCAATCCATACAAGCACTTGATGAAACGGTAAGTTACCTATCTTTTAAGATTGTATGAGTAAATTAATGACTTAACGTTGTCGGTAACAACGTCAAGTAATGACAGTTGGGTAGATTCATGCAAGTAACGTTCACTAAATCAATCTTCATCCACCCTATTCTTTAGGCCAGTTTCTCGTTATATGCATTTACAAAACGCGAAATATGGCATCAGACACCTTTTTCGATCTCTACTTACATATCCAGTTATATGCAACGTCCGGTCATTGCAGTCCGCATACTGAAGTTTGGTATAACGATACAAACGACACCATTAAACTAACTAATTTCTCTTAAATTCGAGGTGGTATTGGAAAAGTAGATTTTGCTTTACTTTACAGGGTACTATTACATGTATTTTCTTACCATTACTTAATAATTGGATTATGTTTTCGTATTCTGTATTCTAAGCTTCTGATAGATTCAAGTTGTTATTATCATTCCTCTCTTTTTTCAAGTTGGTAAACTATGATTTTCTATCTATAGTTTTTTTGCACCTACTAATGCGTGTATGTAAACTGATGGTTGGTTTACATATAGTAGAGGGTTGTCTGCTTATTGTGTTCTACGGATTCAATAATGGGAAATTGTGCTTCTTAGCCCAACAGGCGTTAAGAATTATCTAAGTCACTACCTCAAGGTTAATTGTTGACAGTCAGTATTATTGGTTAAACCTTATCTTTGATCTATGAGCGAAAAGTAAACTCGGTCTCCCGAATAGTAAACCGGCTTACATTGTTGGATTCGTGTCTAGTGATTCTGGTCAAGAGCAATCAAGGATGCAACACTTCACCGTACCACCAGCAGGAAAAAAGCATTCACACCGTCCCAATCACATTGGCAGATCCAGGTTTAAAATCCTTGTCCAAAAGTATGTATAACATCAATAGATTGCCATTAATTATGTGATAGAGTCAGAGGTTGTGGTTGCCACAAATGATTCGGCTTTACTCTGAGAAGACCTTAGCTACATGATAATTTTCATTACTATCCAAAACTAATATCTAGACTTCTTTTTGTTTTACTGTCGAAGCACAATTTTCTACCGTTGCCAACAATATGACTCCCATAGACCCTTTAGTTTTTTACTGTCCTTCAATACATTAACAAATTGGGCTCATTTAGTGTTACCTGGAATGATAATAATCTAGTCTTATTCTGTAGTTATCTGAAAACATTTCTGCCATAGAGATGCTGTGTGGTCTCGTTGATACATAGACCTCCAACCTAAAAATCATCTAACAATGCAAATCATTTTTCTATCCATCACATCTGTCGTAGGCAAGATGATGGTTTGTAAATGACTCATCATAATACGCAAATCAATACCTGGCACATTTGTATATTGATTCAACTTGTCACCCCCCTTCATTGGCATAGCGAGATAAAATTGTCAAGACGAATTCCAGAGTAACAGATATAGCAAGTATGAGTGGTTATAAGAAAGATTAAGGGTTGAAGATACGATACGTGAATAAATATGGGCCAGTGGAATAAAAAGATTTACCAGGTAATTTAGAAACTTGAAATCTAAGGAAAAACAGTGAACGGATTTTATACCATTGTCAATAATTTTGAATCCCTAACCATAAGTTACGATAATCACGCGAACCCCAACCGGGCAGTCTGCATCTACTTACACTAGTCAGTGTACTGATAACATGTCTTGGTCCTTAGATTTCTTTGAACCTACTTCTACCTCGGCTATCATCGCAAGTCGGGGCAATCAATGGATAGGTGTACGTAATAGTTGTTCTGTCTCGCTCAATGGAGATTCACTTTACCATTCTTACCTGGTATTTTCAAAATTGCTAATTCGATGGTTCCAAAATATAAGAATGATGCCTCGAATACACCTATGATTAAATACTGTAAAACCTTCAGATATCCTTTGCGTTTAAAGGTCACTTTCCTCAGCCATAAAGTAGCGCAGAGCGAACTGCCATACAGTAAACCCGTTTTTCGGTTGACAGATATCTCGTCTGTGCGAGAAGTGACGCAAGCTGGCAAACGTCAGTTCATTAAATTTAAACTGATTCAGTGCGTTGATTCTTCCATTTTGGTGGAGTTCTAGATGGCTCGCTTCCTGATGAACTGTGACTGAGAAAGCAGAAGCCCATATGGTATGAACCATCCTTACACAGGTGATAGTGTCAATAAGACACTCCGATTTCTACTAAAAACGAGCGAATTGCACAACAATTTGTCTGTTGCGTCATCTAAGAACTAACTTCAAGATGTGTATTTTTAAGAGTAATTAAATGCATTATTTTTTGTGGCTCTCGATCCTTTAAACTTTTAGGGGATGGAGTTAATTGAGCGACTTGCTCCTTCTGAATTTACAAGTTACTTGGAGCAATATGGTAACACCATATGCGGACGACACCCGATAGGCGTATTACTGCAAATCGTTACGTATTTACGCAGGAATATGCCCAATAACAATTTTAACATGAAGTTTGTACGATATGCCCAATCAGAACACTGTAATAATATGAACCAATCATCTGTCAGTTATGCAGCTGGTGTGCTACAAATATCTTGATATAAGTAACTTTTCCTGCATATTATAATATGTGTATCGATGTTTACATTAAAGTAAAAAGTCATGACTTTAGGGATTGTTAATTTTACTTCAATATATAACAAACTTTTTCTTACGGATCCTTTTATATATTTACTCACGACTGACTAGAGCACATGCAGTGTAACTCACTGATGAATCTTCCATTGACTGGCAGCGGTTGGATTGTGTATAGTTTAGGATTTTAAGTTCCAGGTTAAACGGTTGCTTCTGTCGAATACGGTCAATCATAAATAAGAACACGCCTATACTTCTCCTGCCACATATAGTGTTCCTGTACTCTTCAAGATATTTTATGAATGATTTCGGTTTCAGGCTTCGAATCGCATTCAAACCCTGTGAAATATAACATTAGATTTATATATAGTTGAGAGGGATACAGTGTGAAAATAAATATACTGCAGCCACTTACAAGGTGATCGAGTTTCTCAATAGACTGCCATATCGCACCATCGGATTTATTGTAATACTGATATCGAAATCGTTTCCCTGGAAATAAAGCATACGAGTGATTAGTTTACTGACTGTGGGTATCATTTTGAATCATACTAATCATCACTGAGAGTGAATTTTGTGACTTGTTGTTTGACCATGCGTATATATTCCTGACAATAAGCGCGTAAAACGAGCACTTATGATGTCCTTGTATGTTTATTTAAAAGATTCTAGCATAAAATGTACATTTAAACAAGGCTAGATAATTACCGAAGTATTATAAATACTGCTTGGAAAAGTGTTTAGACGGCCATAGAATTTCGTAACCAAGGTTAACATGATGAATCATTAACGATTATTTAGAACAACGGACGAAACTACGTAAAGGAATACCGCAAGTTACCATCATTCTCAGCCAAATTAACCATTATGTATACTGCTTCAAATAAACACAAAAATACTGCGTGGAAAATGTAACAAACCCCAATGACAGAAATCAGAAGATATCACAAAGAGATTCTTCTCATCTAGCATATAACTCGATAGGAGGTTCCCGAAGAATTCTTGTTTTTCGAATGATAAGCAACCGACAACTATGGGGACTATGGAGTACTGATCTTTCCTACTTCAAAGCAAGAATAAAAGTAGACATTATTTGTATTAAACTCCAAGATGTTGGTAAAGAAATGCGAATCACATCAAGGTACTTACCAAACTGTAATCTGGACACGATAACATGTCTCATAACCATCGGTTTCAGTGTTAAACTAGGATGTCACCGATTATCACAAACAATTGTCACACTGATTTGACTATTTAGTATTAGAATGTAGGAAAGCGCATTGTCACCAAAACACTGCGTATTTCCTACTAGTATGATTAATTTTTAAGTTTACAGGATATTATGTCTGCTGTCACTAAGTCGTTTACGGCCTAATATTTCTGCGTACCACCTGGGCGGTTTCGAAATCAAAATATTTCGATGGAAACGAAAAAGCATTTCAAAAGCGGAAAGCTTAGTTAACCAGTTATGCCGTCTAAAAGTGACTATCATTTATAAAAGAAACTGTCACTGAATACAAATCAATACAACGAAGATACATCGAAAATGAAATAACGAACTTCCTACTGAATAAAATTGGGTGGAAGTTTGCTTTCAACCAATTTATGAGTTTTAAAACTGATTATCTCATACTAAAAGTATTTGCGAATTTCGTATCCCCAACGCAAAATGAAGGAATATCCGTGAATATGAATGTGGACTGTGGTCTTCAGGAGTGTTTCTTGTACAAATTACAGAGGATCTACTACTTGACGTATCCGTTGTGGACAAGTTTCATACAAACCACGTGGATAAAGGCTTGGTATGTCTTATGATCTCGCTAATTTGTTAAAGGTATTTAAGTCATATTAATAGTCTAGAAAATCACCACACGGGAAAGCTTACCGTTTCATGATGTGAGCAATATATGGTAACTGCATTTCTACAGAATGTTCAGCTTCGTCCTGACTCTTCTCGAGAACGCTGAAGCAGTTGAACTTTTTGAGGCTGTTGTATACTGAAAAAGGTATTAAATTAAGTCCGCTTACCATTGGTATTAATCTTTAAGTTATAAAATGGAGTTTCATATTCAGATACAGAAGTCAGAGCACATGTATTCCCAATATCTAAACGATGTGAGGGACCTATGATAAAAATGCATTCTCTTTGAAGAAACATTTAACTAAAGCACCACCTACATTTTGTCAGGATTTATTAGACGGTATGCGTGGGCCGCACATAAACCAGAATGTCGGTAACCTGCATGACTTGATACTCTTATTAGTAAGAATAATATCATACGGTACTATAATTGCCCAGACTGAATTTGCATTTGGGACGTTCTTTTCACAACTTTCCAACCAAGTGTTTAACTGTGATGACAACTCTGTTCCTAATTATGATTAGTAATTGTCTTGGTAATAGTCGCTCAACTGTCTGCAGTATACCAGCTTCCAGCGTGTGAACTAACCCGGACGGAACTGAGAGTCGTCTCCATTCAGTGCAAATTGTTCATAAACTTCAAATACTATCTCGTATTGACGTACTTAAACCTAAAGCATTAAAGATTCCGTAAAAGATAGCAAAAACCAAAGGTTGGGTGGAAAAATGGGAAACCAGTTGTTATATCAGGAGAAAAACCGACCAGTACAATTCACAATGCTTGATGATGAGATGCGCACTAGTTAGGTAAGCTGGTGACAAACATTTGTAAGGTCAGTACGTTAGTGAAAAAAAAAACATGCACTACTACGTATCATCCATGGATCATAGGAACAGTTACTATTTGTATCGCGCTTGGTAGCTACATTGAAATTTACGGACACGTGCTAACTGTACTGTCGTCAGTAATGAGAGTACACTTTGGCGGCCGACCTCGTCTTTGTTAACCTGCCGTAGCCACCTCTGAGTCTTCAGTAGCATGAACGATTTTGTAAAAGAAGTCAAGTTGTTGATTTTTCCTGCCTTAGTAGCACGCACTATAAAAGCCTGTCTAACTGTATCTCGACGTACATTACACTAGTTTAGACTTTCTCCACATAATTCTTAATCTTACTAAGGGTTAGTTGTTTTACTCACTTACTGGCGTTCACTCACAACCATTAATGGTTGAATTCAAGTGGTAGCTTCCGGCTTTGGTCTTGTTTAGCTATCAATCATGTAGTGTCTTCCACTCACTCAATTTTATTTACATCCTTGCTATACTAAGCTGATGTATGTTCAAAAGAACTTTCAGCTAGACTCATCTGTGCACTATTATAATAGTATCCTTAAAAGGATACAAGTTGTAAGGAACTCATGAAAGCACAACGAAATTATCAGAGGTTCCACCATATATGACTTTGTCTTAACACACGATGATAATGGCAGTTAAACAAAATTCTTCACACATACGGAGAGAGGTGACCAATGTCTCATTCAAATTCTTGGCACAGAAAAAACGGTAAACTCTATCAGATCTGGCCGCCGTTTCGTCCCAACGACCTTGAACAGCCGGACAAAAGGCGGTCATTCCGTATTTCAATTGCCAAAAGCAATAATTTAGCGTTCTCTGTTTCGTAGTGAACACGTCGACTATGTTGTTGTTCCGTAACTTGATCTGTGATCTCAATTGCTGTAGTAAACTTCAACGACATGTCGTCACCGATAAATCTTACATACTTGCTGAGATGCAAAACCAATACGCGCTCTCTAATGAAACCTTGAATTCAATATATAGGGCTCTAAATGTCCAATACCATTGAGGCTTGCCGAGATTTACACCTTTCGCGCTTCTGTCTTGACCTCATGAGCATATTTCTGACACATTGTACTGTTTATCATATCAGCACATCGTCTCTGTTGAGAAAATCTAGGCAAAATTGATGGGTATATCGATTTGAGATTCTGCAGATAAGTGAATAGCTATTCACATAACCAAACTAGGTTTGCTAAATAATATGAAGGATTTAACACCGATTTCCAGGGTTTCATATACAAATGAGAATCAATTAGTATATTTATAAAACAGGAAACAACACCTTTATAGTCGAAGGATACCAACCCAGTCAAATCAGGAGTCAGAAATGGAGGGTTCGAAGACATATTTGAAAAGCCATCGGTATGTCGAGAAGCCCTCAGTCTAAGCTGGCCAGGAGTAGCATGGCGTAGCCATATATGATCTGGTGCAGATGTATAGCAGAGTGCCTTCAGCTAATGTGTGTCCAGTAAAACCATTGAGATCAGCATCAACGTTGAAGGTTTATGAAACTATTTTGGAGATTTATTTGACGCGTAATGTCAACTGGCAGATACAAATGGAACGAAGTTATAGTATTATTGAAAAAATATCTGAACTAAACCTCTCCGCCGTTGAATCGGAATCACCAGCTACTGTAACATAATAAAAATATCACTGGAAATAGACTGTCCAAATTTATTTCAGTGAAATTAATCCGATATGGAACTAGACTATTTGAATTTAAGTGAATTCATACTGTCCCGGGTACGTTTAGTTTGTGTGTTTCAAGCATTTATACACCATTATAGCGACCGGATGCGATCAACAGATAGACAGGAAACAGAAAAATGGAACATCAAAAGTATTCACGTGTAAGATAATCGAACTGATCACACAACTATGCACGAGTTTACCAACGAAGCTGTTCAAATACATCCAACATTTGCACGCTTAGTAGAATGTAGTATTCGAAATTGGCACACAGTTATCTGTACTCATCATTTCCATTCTAAGTACCATAGGTTTACGTTAGCGAATGAAGTTATTTATGGTCACAGGTATTGCTCGGCGTAACAACACATAAAGCATATAAATCCGCCATCTAAGATAACAGCCACGAACTTAGTCCGATATGGCTCTGTTAAGCAATATGATGCCATTCATACATCGACCATTAGGAAAAGTCTATGGTTCAAACCGGACACTGTAGAAGTAAAACCATGTGACTCTTTGATGTGAACAAGGTGACATGTAATAAAGAGTCACGGCTCCAAAATGGTTACAAGAAAGAAAGTCTTGAAAAAGTCTCCGGACTAATGTTAGATGAAATCAAATATAGGGAAAGAGTGAGAAAAACTTCCATCACTTAAGTGTGCAGATTTATGGAACTGAAAAAATTATAGTGACTGTTTTAGTAAAACAAACACAACGAACACATCCTGATTTATTGAATTGCAGATGCAGTAAAATTGGCTTCACATACACTAACTGTCTGGAAAACTGAATAGAGATTGGCGTTCACAGCAAATTCGTTAATTTACATTCAACTATGGCAAGTGTATATCAGAAGTTCCGATATGTTCACTGGCGAAATCTCCGGGGCTTCAAAAGTAATCTATTGCCGAACTTGCATCGAATGCAGTAAATTACCTAAAATACACATCGTTATGAGTAAATTACGAGATAGATGAAGTTAAACCGGTTTTGTTCAGCTACTTGAATATGTAGTGGCATTGGACAATAGCCACACAATCCACAAAGCTGTGAACACGAGACTACTCAGAAAATAGATATTCAATATTTAACGCGGAGAAATACCTAACAATGGAGAAGGCGCGGAGAATGAATTGAATGGACTGGAGTTGATCGAGTGGCATGGCTCGGCCATGCAGGCGTGGTCTCTATTCATATTAAATATATTGTTCCTTCTCTAACCTAACCTTGTTCTTCATCATGTATTGGTAATTGATACGATACAGTGAGTTGGCGTAGTCGATGGTGTGACTTCCACGTAAGATCTTATAGATTAGGCAGTTATATCATGACGAATCTACAAATTTAGGATTAAGTCTATTATTAGAGCAGTACTAATATCATAGTAGACCATAGTTCTACATTGGTGAGCCCAACTAAAGAAACGCAACCTAATATTATTAATCCTTATTTCCACTTCAACTTTCTCGATCGATTTTATATTTATGTTAACCCTGTATTCCAATAGTCCTCTGATTAATGCTCACATGCATTATCGTAATGTTATATTGATTAGTCCTCATGACAAACTAGCTCAATCGATAATAAAAACTGGTCGTCTATATTAACTAATTAGCTTTGATGATTTGTTAACAAGCTGTAATAGCATTTACATGCTTCAGCGACATAGTCTTGTTTAAACATCAAGCTCTAGCAAATATGACCTGTAAATAGCGTAAATATACATTGACTAACAATGCGATCAAGGACTAAATAGTTATCTGGATCTAATTCTCAGTGTTCCTTCACTTAACACCTCATCCTGTTTTAAACGATGCACTATCCTGTAATATCTTTTCTTCTGACCACTGCCTGCCTAATTTCATATTCTCGAGTTCCATTGCCAAACAACGAGGATGACTACTCCAAAAACATACGGTGAGTTCCAGCTATAAGTTTTCTGCAATCATAAGTTCATTTTAGATGGCACACACAATTATCTGGATTCACTCAGTTGTTCTGATCAGAGCGAGTCCCAAAGACCTCAACAGCATCAAGCACCCTGGAAGTGATTGCCATACTGTATGTTTTATTCTGGATGCTTTTGGATCATTACTACTCCTCACGAATGGCGTTATATATGTCGTCCACTGAATAATCTAATTTTCAAAAATAATCCAGGCGAGTTCAACTATTTTACTGGATGATTTTTTTTACTTAACATGTATATGTTTTCCGGTTCCTTTTGCCATATATTTGTTAGTGTCCCTAGGCTAAATGCAGTAACTTCTTATGGAATGTTTATAACGCATCATATTCCTGCCTGAAGTTTCACAAGCAGTCTAAACTTTAAAACCATTTTCTGGTCATGTTCATTATTTTTAAATCGTCATATACGTCAACAACCTGCATGTTAACCTGGCCCATACATACGTTACACTATATCTCCATGTCTTCTAAATTTAGAAATCATCTGAATCGCCTTTAACATTTATCAATAAACCCATCATAGTCGTTGTTGCTAATCGTATTTGGGTTTATGGATTGGTTTGTCATATTAGCAGCCTAAAATGCGAACATAGTTTAGATAATAAGATTAAAAATTTAGATACTATCAACTGCACTAGTGAAATAACTAAATCCCCAAGTAGCTGTTGGCTAAACAAACGTTTAAAATCAAAACTCAGTAGCCTACTAGAATGAACACTAAACGAGTATTTCTGAATTGAAATTTATAATTAAATTAGGCGTCTCGGATTCTTTAACGTTATAAATTTCTGATGATTTTGAATCACCTAAAGCAACAATACCTATTTTTCCACTGACTAATCCTTAATCAACACTATAACTAGTTAAATTTGATAGTTTCAGGATATCGTCATAAAGCATTGTCATAACTTGACAATCACGTAATATGACTGATAAAGTTAATGAAACTAGTAACGAAATCGGTCAGCAAATTGACTTATAATTACCATTAAATGGTGTTGTTTTCTTGGTATCTTCATCCATCACAGATGATTACAGTATGTTTCTCTATCAGTTGCTCATTCAGTAAATATCTCAAAACCTTGTCAGTCTAATTGATGGTTTAGCGACACAATCATGCATGCAAATAATCAGAATAAGCAGTCGAGCAAATCTCCTGCAAACTGAAAACATCAATGTCGAATTTACCCCAACACTGACTAAGGTTCAAGCCATTATCATAGAAATGAGTTGGGAGTGTACTCCCCCTGGTTACAACTCATGTTCTCCCTGATAATCACATGAGCATCACTCACTATTAATCATCCTGTAAAAACTTATTTAGCTAAATACATTTTGCAGCACCACATCACTTCGTAATATGACATAGGCTAACTGATTTTAATAACTTGTAACCACTATATCTCAATTAAATCGTATTCCGCCTTATGATAAACTGCATACTTGCAACTATCTTGTATGCCCAATCAGCCGGCAAGTATAAATATAAATAAATAGTCTATCGCAGATCAGAACATTGAGTCTAGAGCATGTCTCTTACGAACACACTCATGTTTAACGATTTTTCCTAGCTATCTGTCCAAAATCCATATAATTATCACTCATGTATTTAAATTTTGTTCTGATAACCGTTCATGTGTATTAGTAGTATTACTAAATTCTATCACGGTCAAGTAAAAATGAGGTTGAGAAAATCTCCCCGTAACTAAATAAACCGTATCAAACTAACTGGAACACTAGTTGGAATTCTTCTCCACGGTATACTTTTGTTCCTTCAGTTAGCCTACTAATACAGATGCAATTGGAATTCAACTCATATGGACAACTTACCGGCATAATCGTTATCCGATTTCATAATTTAAACCAAAACTAATACCAATATTAACATTTCTACAATATTCATTATTTTAATATTTCTAAACACAAAATAATTACTGCCTATAAGTTAATTTATTAACACGCATCGTTTTATTATTATTATTATTGTAATCCCATTTTTTATAGTTCAAATAATCTTCAACCAAATTTTCATTTTAAGCGTGTTAATCATGAAAGCAGATATTTTAAGATTATTACATGTATTTTCCGACCAGACACTGCCTTCTTTTTGATTTATCTTTCAGCTTATCAATACCCGGAGGATCTTTATTATCCTTGGTAACCTCCGGCGCGCGACGATCCCATCCAATTTGGTATCGAACCAACATCACGTTGATTCTGGTGGGAGAGTAGTGTAGTGGCATTGGACAATAGCCACACAATCCACAAAGCTGTGAACACGAGACTACTCAGAAAATAG